TAACTCATTTACAAGGAATGCATTTGCTCAAAATACATTCAAATAAAAAATAGTTATCATGCTGCATTATCATGCATTCTCAAAGATATTTCCTTCCTATAGATTTTCCCACGACAAGAAGACTTTTCCCTGAACTCAGGTTAACTGCAGACTGGTGGTTATTTCTCTTGTGCAGCCTTTCGAAAGTCGGTTAGGTGATGTGGAGCCACACATCATCAGTCCTTCACTATCTGGAGCTATCTAACTTCCTCACAGCCTCCCACTCGCCTCTCTGCTGTCTGCTCCATCTGGAGGGAGCTGGCTGCTCTCCTGCAGCCTGACTCCCTGAGCGCAAGGCAGCCAGCAGTTGCCAGAACATCTGCTGTCTCCTGACTTTTCTTGGGTGAGTACCCAAAGCACGGCCTTTCTAAAGTTGGACAGTCGCCTCCACTTGAAACTGGTCGAGTTCAAAGTTCTTAGATTTGTCCTGAGATTTGCAGCTACATGGGAATATATGGTTTAGCGATCTGTGATGTGGAATCAAGTGTACATTTCAAAGGGATACATATGTTGTCATGAGGATGCACTGATGTTTTGCCTTCTCTTCCCCTACACCAGTAGGAATCTGGTTGTAGAACATTGTTATTCTGAAGGCAGAGTCATTTCAAAGATTAAGAAGTGGAAGGAATGCAAAACCAAACAAAGTCCTTAATTCTGTAATTGTGCTCATCAATGGTGCGCTTCTCAGCAGATCTGCTCCTCACCAGTGCCTCTGGGCTGCATGAAACCTGAAGTGTGCAGTGAAGGCTGTTCCTTGTGAAGGCAGAGGTTGCCTCATGTTTGAAAACATGCTTTGGAAGAAGAGACATCTTGTCTGAAAAGTTAGGAGCACAAAATAACATCACTGTAATCTTACAGGAGGAAAGTGTACACAGCAGCTCCCACGTCAACTGTCTTTTTCATATATGAGGAAAATCCTGCCCTGGCAATGTGCGGGGCTCCCACTGACTTCATAATGGGAAATCTATTGCTTATTTAGAGCTGACTTGGCTTCATTTAGAATGTTTTAATACACCAGTTATTAAAAGTTTCATTTTAGAGAAGCAATTTCAACAGGTGAAATACAGTGACATTGCTCTCTGACCCTGTTTGCTCTTTCTGATGAGTTTCTGCTCAGTTAGTTGTTTCAGGATCCACTGCTGGGCCTGGAGCACAGTTGGAATACCTGGGAGATGCAAGAGGTGTTGAGCTGCCTTTATCTGGTTGATGCTGGCACAGAGCTGTTTGGCACTCTCAGAGTGTGTCTGAACAGCCATCTTGGCTTGAAGTACAAACCGACACTCAGCTTCATCCCCTGAATGCTTGTATGTTTGCTCGCTCAGACCTCAAGCTACTTTGGTCGAAGTCTGGACTGAACAAACAGGCTCTCTTATGAGGAAACCTCAAGCTCAGAAGAGGCTGACTCTTACTCAGGCTCGCTCCAGGAGGGCTGGAGGAGCCCTTGACTGTATGAACTCAAACTTCAGACCGAGGGGTGCAACCAAAGGCCAGAGTTGTGATCCGAAGAGCTGCCTCACCCCAGGGTCCTGCCTCCTCCAGCGGCCCTCAGAACTCTTCTGGAGAGGAAAGACACTCCTTGCTGACAACAGCTTTTCAGAAAGCAGGCACCGAGTGCTCTCTCTCTCTTCCTCCTGTACCGCCTCATATGGCGCATGGACACTTAATTTGTCCTTTGGGCACAAGGAGGAGCTGCCCTCAGTGCAGGAAGGATCTCTTGCACTGGTGTGCTTCCAGCAGAGCAGGACGAGAGAGCTGGTACCAGCACTATCTGAGCACAGAACAAGACAGTCCTGAAAAACTGCAGCAGGTCTAGAAAGGAGATAGAAGCGATTGCTACTCAATTTACAGCATTATATCTCAAAATTAAGCAGGCATATGAAAAATGCATGAAAAATATATATTTAGCTGTATTTTAAAGTGAAACTTAATACCCTATGTTAGTGTATAGCACTCTCTTACCAAGAAAACTAATTTACAGGCAAAGAAAGAGAGCTTAAAACTAAGAGACTGTGTTTTTAAATAACCTAAGAAAAATGCATACTTAGTTACCTTTTATTCTCCTGCTGTGTGTGCCCTGAGCTGGCCCGGGGAGTTCTATGAGGTAAGAAATTCCTGCTCAACAAAAGTTCCTTTTCTAAAAAAAGTGAACATAATGGAAACGGGGAACCACTTACCAGGCAGCTGAAAAAGGAGCTGACTGTGCAGAGAATTTCACACCTTACGGCTTTTGGTCAGTAAAGTACATAAACAAAATGTAATTTTCTATGCAATTACAGAGGGTCACACAAGAATATTATGTTTTAGAAACCCACTCAAAAGCATATTGCTCACTAAGAGCCCAGTCCGGAAAATGGTTACTCACTTTAGTAAAGTTGCTGGTAAGCATTTCTGGGAGCAGGGCCTAGGAGACATTTTCCTTGTTATGCTTTCTTAAACAGTTTATGTGATAGTAACAACAGGAAGATAAATTACTTTGAATGGTAGCAATTAGAGAAATAAGGACTGTGATAGATTTACCATGTGGAAAACATCTCTCACACATTTTCATACAGCCATTAAATGTAGTTTTAATGACACAACACTGATTTCAGAAAGAAACAAAGTTTATTTGATGAATATAAACAAGATGATCAACACTAAATACTTCCCATACACATGATAACAATGTTGTGAACTCTAAATACCTTGGTACTTTACACTTCTACTAGACATTAAATTACAATGACTGTCTAATACATGCCCACTGTTAATTTCTAGGAATTCCTTAGTTTCATATCAATATCCTTAACCACATATCAATATCACAATCCAGAACATGCCACTCACTTGAAAAAAGTATTACAAGAAGCACTATCAAATGAGGATCTAAGGTTATTAGGGAATACTGACCCATTGCTGCAGAACATCACATTCAAACGTCACCCTACACACAGAAAAAAAAAAAACAACATTGCAGGTATAGTTTGTGTCAACACATCTGAGGTCTTCTCATAAACACTGTTTAAAAAGTAAATTGAAACTCACTTTCAAATGAAAGTCAATGTGCAGGTACGTGCATACTGGATACACAAAATTCATTAAATACAAAATTCATACTGTACATTTAAATGAAAGAAAGAATGCGAAGTACAAGACTGATCTCACATTAAAATAATAATCATTATCTTAAGTGTTAACCAAAAGTTGGTTTGCTTCTTTACACTTCAAGGGGGAAAAAAACTACCAAACATTGCTCAAATAAAATATTTTCCCAACATCACAGTGTTTATTGTAAACCCCGAGATTCTATTTTAGTATATGAAAAGATTTTCTGCAAACATCGTAGAGTATCACATGAAATGAAAAACAAAAAGAAAAGGAAAAAGAACGATAAAGAAAGCAATGTTAGACAGAGTTTTCCTCCTTAGGGCTAAACTGTAGGCCCTGATAAAAGTTTAGATCAATACTCTTACCAACATGAATGGAGCAAAAATGCCCCGAAAGTAATACCTGTGACAAAATTGGCACATACATATAAATATCTAACTATACAGCTTTGCGCCTGACCCTATTTCCCCCTAGTTTATTTCCTACTTCAAGTATTCAGTTGCAGAGTTAAGGTTAAGACCTGATTGTAAGAGACACAGACGATTGTCCCCTACTGTGACAACAAATTTGTCACAAGAAACTAAGCTTTGTTGTCTGAGTTTCCAAGTGCAACATTTGTCATATGTGCTAAATATACTCCCAAAAGCTTTGCTGTTTCAAAACAAAGATCTAAAATGCCATTGATAGTTAAAGGACAAACTTTTTAAACATGAATGAAATTTGGATTATCTATGCTATACTAATTCTATACATTTTCTATCTATGGAAAACAGTAGCATCCAGCAGGACTCCTGCTCAAATAAATTGCTCTTTGACTGCACCATGAATTATGGTACAAATAAATAAAATATCTTCTCTAGACAATCACTTTAGAGGGGTATATGTATGGCTCATGTAGGATGTTTAGGGTTAATTGCACCACAGGTTCAAAAAATATTTTTTCTAAATTCAGTGCAAGACTTTAGGAGTATCCACTTAGATTTTTCTTTTTTACAGCAGCAAAGAAAAACTACTAAGGATTAAGGCCACCCATGCTTAAATTTATTGTTTGTCCTTTAAAAATGTAGATAGTGTATTCCCACTCCCATCACCGTGGAAGCATTTCTCCCACGGATGAAAAGATGCCCCAATAAAACAGCCAAACATTTGTAGGTTTGCCAGACTGACCAAAAATGTTCATGGAGTCACAAGGATCCTCTCCTCAAGAAGTAGCAGACATTTATCTATCAGTTAATATTCTCTCACTGAATGTAATGACTTCACATTTCTGTTTTTCCTTGCATGTGCTTTAAATTTATTTCACTAGACGTATTTTGGTGATTCAGACAGCCTCTATGGGCTGTTTGTTCATTGTTATTTTCTTCTTTAACATCTAAAAGTCATTGGGATCCATGTTAGAGACTGTTTTTCAACACAGAAAATGATAACAAACAGTTCCTCATTTACAGGAGACCTAGTGCATATACTGTATTCACAGCAATCTTACTTTATTTTTATTTTTTTAAAGAGTCCCAGCTTTCATTGTTGAAGATCTGTATGCATTTGGATGGTAAAAGGTTGATACATCCTTGTGTATATGTCCATATAGTCCATATATATACAAACATATGTATTTATATACGCCTCAAGCTTTTACCATCCAGGAATAGATACATCTTGTTTATAATTGTATATTTATGATCAAATTAGATGTCCTATGCATTGTCAGAGACACACACCATATTTTCATAGAGTTAATCTTTGCCATCAGTTATAAGTACCAAAAATTGATTTCATTTCCAACCTGGCCCAGAGCTTAATACTGGTTATACTATCTATGTGATTTTTTCCATTCTTTTTTTGTTGCTATTTTTTTTTTCTTGTTTGTTTGTTTGTTTTCATTTTGGTTTGTTGTTGTTGTTGTTTTTTAATTATAATTATCAGTAGATATAAGAAAACAGAGGAGGGTAAAGGCTTGATTTTAATTTTTTTAAAAAGCCCACATCTAATTGGGGTTAAGATTAATGCCAACACCCTTTATATAACATTATACTAATACCTCTTTGATAATCTAGTGCAATAGAAGTTTTAGAATAGTCTAGGTAAAATCAGCAAATGCAGATGCCATACCTAAATTATCTACATCTGAATTACTTATTAAAATCAATATCAATTTACCAAAAAAGATTTACATAACCTGATTAAATGAACTTCATTAAACAATAATATTTGAACACTTGGTTTGTTTGTGAAAACAATGACTTGCAAGACCCATTAAAGATAGAAATAAAGCTCTTGTAATTTCTGCTTGAGTCTCCTTCGTTGTTTTACGAAGTATCTAATTTCACAGCAGACTACAAGAAATAATGGAGAAGATGCCAATTAATGCAGCATTTCATTAGATATCAACCTTAGCATTCATTTTCTGCATCTGTGATCTTCTCCAGGATATCATGGTCATGTTTGGAGATCCAATGCAATAGATTATCATCATAACTTTCCAGTGATACATTTTTTCTTCCTCTTTCACTAGTTCCTCTGACAACTGTAACAAGGAAACAAAATACTCCAATTAATAACACATTTCAAGCAGCAACATTCTAGTTCTCATCTAAACAAGCTTTTCATCAACATCGGTAGGTATATTGCTTTTCTAGGCACTGAGTATTAAGTGAGGATTAATTTGATTTGAACCCATTTGATACACTTAAAGGGTGGCAATCTTTTCCATAGAAGATTTTTATGACAAGATTTCTCCTAAATGGGAAAGATTTTAAATTCCAAATATATCGAATTCTGTGTGTGTGATTCTGCAAATGAGGAGTTTTCTGGTCTTCTGTACAGGCACAGTAGCTTTGAAGTGGAACTGTTATTAGTAAACCTAAATGTTTCGTTTGGAAACCAAAGGAATTGTCCATTTATTTCTGCCATGCGGTCAATGTCGGTTGTTCTCCATGGCTGGCACTGCTGAAATAAAGGGAATGGTGCAAGCCTGAATCAGTCAGTGGAAAATGTCTTCTGTCACTCATGGGTTTGGAAGAGGCTCTGTATGATTGCAAGTGACTGTGGCATGAGGCCTGAATGATTTGTATTGTTACACCAGCTTGGCTGCAAGCAGACGGCACAGTATTCCTCAACAAGGGCAGTGAATTAGTCTTATTCACAGTATCTGTATCTCAGATGAGTGGGAGGAATTAAATGATTCCACTACAGGGCAGTTGTTCTTTTATCCACTGACTTTGTTCCTAGAGAAGTGGAAATGCATTATGTATGGGACTCTCTGCTGCTAAGCTTGCATTTATGTAAGCAAAGAGTTTCCAAAACATCCGTTTTTATAAAAAAGAAACTGCTGCTGAATTTTTACACTTCTGCATGCAGCAGAAAAAGTGTTGTGTTTTCTAGTAGAACTGTTTTACTAAAATGCCTCTTTAAATTCTAGAAGCTAATATTTAGCACAGTAATTACGCTATGAGAAAAGTGCAACACTTTGTCTAGAATGCAAACAAATAAACTTGCAAATCACTTTCAGTCTCTGTTTTTAAGTTCTTCCCTCTACGGCAACCCCATATAATGGTTTATCTAACACAAACTTAGATGAATAGTTTTACTTCTCCATTGGGAAGTTGGTACAATTCTTCTGGTTAAAACACTTCAGGACTAATCCAAAGCCCACTGAAATATGGAAAGATTCCCATTGATTTTAACAGACTTTGGGTCTGGCCTGTGAATGAAGAAAAAATGACTTCTGCAGAGCTGGAAAGCCAGGGAGTTCCTAAAGTAGATCATGTTACTAGTTCTGGCACATAAAATCTTTGTGAACTTTTTATGAAAACTGTAAGTCAGAGCATGCGTGACGTTTCGTGAACTGTGCATAGCTCCCATTCTTTTGTGTGCTGAGTGTATCTTAATCATCATTCAAAGAGATATATAGGCATAGGAAGCACCCATATAAATTAACAAAGAGAGTACATTCCAGAAACCTTAGCACAAAAATGTCAATTTTTTAACAGGTTCTCTACAATATAATCACAGCAAATTTCCAATATACTTGATATTTTACAAGCTGAAGTTCCTTTGCAATTAACACTCATTCACACGCTCAAAAAGAAGCCAGAATAGAGAGTCCAATCTGAGGAGCAGCAGCCAATCACAAAACGCAATCTCTTTTCAGCTTGCTCCCCAAATTTTCATAGTGCTTTTAGTACAGAATGAAACTCCCACATAAACCCCACCCACTTAATCAACCCACCCCATTCATCAGGAAACCATACACGTATTGGGAGTGTAACAAAAACTGGCTCACCACAGGTAGGAAATGCAAAGTATTTCTCAAGTAAGTCAAATAAATATATAAAAGGATATTGCTGTCAAATACCAGCTGAGGTTGAGTAAATTAAATTTATATTTGTTTCCTCAATACCGTACTTGGGATAGGTCAGTGAACCTCTAAAATGGAAATAAAATTTGGTAATGTGTATTAGGCCTGAGATTCAGGACTGCTGCAGCTAAAATCAATGTCCTATGAGTTTGGCACCTCTGACGGTCCATTAGATACCAATCAATGAAAACAGCAGAAGGATGTGAAGATATAAAAGTGTAGTAGCCCACAAATATTTGTTCAGATTGTTTTTCCTTTGGATAAAGACACCTGCCTGATTACTACTTTTTACCTCCAATCCTTTCCTCTCAGCAGTGATTTGCAGAAACAAGCTGGGAGAGGGTGGGTAAACACAAAGGGGTTAAAGGGGAAACTGTTTAATAACAGTAGTAAAATGCAGGCTATTTTTGACATCTGGGTTAATGTCCATTATGCTCCATATGCTTTCCAAATGTTTGCAACAAGCACCCAGATACAAAAACAGATACCCATTCACATAGGCTTAAATTGCCCTCTCCTAACCTGTTACACATGGTACCTACATAAAAGGCCAACAACTGATATGGTAATTAGTGAGTCAGAAAGAGAGGGAATAGCCAGTTTATTGTAGGGAATTGGTATCTGACCAAATGTTAGCAGAGAAGGATATCATTAATGAAAACCTGTTAGGGCTATTTCTGCTCCCTAAGTTACAACAAGACATCTGCATTATAATGTGCCATCTTTTAAAAAGCTGTCAGGATGAATTCCTCTGTTTCCGTCTCTGAGTGATTTATCATTACTACAATCAGAGTACTAACAAATGATGTGAAATTATTTCATTTTCTGGAAACAAGTAACTAGACTAAAAAGTAGTAATGCACAAACAAGGCTATAACTCATGAAGTCCTTTTCAAGTAACCCCTGGAACTCGGCTGTGCCTCTTGCAACAACAAAATCGAAATGACATGAATTAAAAAAAAAAAATGCATTCTCAATTTTTATTTTTGCTTGCCCAGACTCATGAAAAGAATGACACGATTAACTAAGACAAAGCCCTGGCAGGGCACTAAGCTGAATTCTGTCCCATGCCATTAGCTTATTGTGTGACTAAGGAAAAAGCCACATCATTCTTGTGTGCTTAACTTGCTCTTTGCTATAGCAGGGATAACATCAGGCTCCTCACGGAATTTGCAAGGCTTTATGTTTTTAATGTGCCTTAACCATCTTGGAAGAGTGCTAAGCATTATTATTTCTCAGTTCCTGCATTTGATTAAAAATGAAACAACATAGTAAAAATTGAATTAATATATTAAGTTACAAGTAAGGAACAAGAACGCAGCTTGTGCAGCTACCTGTAGGACTTTTAATACCAACACATATTACAGACTAGGTGATTCCCAAGGTATGCAACGAAATGCATCATGAGGGCTTACCTAAACAACTGCAGAATCCTCCCAGATGTTTGATTTAGCCAAAAAAATCTGCTCATGGCTTCTGTGCAAGCCCAGAGTTTGGGCCAGTGGGAACAGCACTTTGGGCTGTTTTCCCCCCTCTCTGAAGTGCAGTTGCTAACATGATCACAGTCCAGCTATTTGCAACTCAGCACAAGGAACAATATTGAGTAGCACAGATCTGCTGGAGTGCTTTCCCCTACATAGTTCCCTTAATGTAAGGTATGAAATGGTACGATATAAACAACTCTGTCATTACAGCCCCCAAAATAAGTATGTATTTTGCTACTTGCACCTGGCCTAATTCTCATGGAAAGAATGAAAACCCACCCCTCACTTTCTAAAGAATGCAGTATCCTGCTGAAGTCTGTCATATCGATGTGAAAACCCTCCACAGGGAGGGCCAGCAAGAGGAATAATTAAGACGTAAAGTTGCATCCAGCCTATGCGGAAAACTTCCAGTGCCAAGATACCAAAGACACCTAAGACACTTGTTAGCTGAGTGAAAAGGTAAAATCTAGTTTAAATTTATAGCATTCCTTCAGTGTCCCTCTAGGAGTTTGGCTTTTTGCCAGTGTTCCTTGTTAAAAATTTGTTAAACGTGTTTGGCATTAATGCAAACACAAAGTGCTCATTTGTTACAAATTCTATTGGAATGCATTCATTTAAGGCAATGAAGTAGTTACCAGAAAAGAAAAAAATGTTCATTAAGTACATTTTAAAAATACAATGATGTATGCGGTGCATAACTATGGCGCCCCAGTGGCTATATAAATATCTGACAGAATAACCACAAGTTGTGTTTGGTTTGAAATTGGAATCTTTTAAACATAACCGATTGAACAAAAACTGGTTTTGTTTGTTGTCAAAACTGATGTTAGTCCTTCTTGTTTAGAACTAGTTACAATAACCGAAGTTTTGGTGTACGATTTCTTACGTCTCAGATCAATAAAGCACACAGGTTAAAGTAATGCTAGAGGAAGTTTCCTCATTCAAATGGTAAGTGCAGCACTGCACACTATCTGGAGAACACTGAACACAAAATGTAAACAGCCCGCTCGGAGGAGAACAAATTTTAGTCATTCTTAAAACCTCCACTTAAGGAAATGTTACCTGGGAGATCTGCCACTGCCTGGCCACACAGAGCTACAGTACCAGGGCTAAAGGTGTCTCAAAACCCACCGAGCACATACCAAAAGAAATAGCTCAAACCCAGTTTACAGATTTCTAATACAAAGGCTGTCTTTTGTAATAACTTTTGTAATAACGTGAAATATCTCCAGTAATGACCATTCTTGATTTTGAATCAAAAGTCCTGAGGCACTTTTTAAACTAGAAAATATCTTCTGAGCTACGTTATAAAAGTAGAACCATTTTTCCATTCACTTCTATCCACTTCATACTCATTTACAACAATGACAAATATGAATGTAAAATGTATTTCAAAAGAAGGATCTGTAAACAGTGTGATTAAATAAAATATCAAAAGATTCACAAGTACCATCAGCATAAAAAGTTATTTATGAAGACAAAATGAACTTTGTTCCAGTTCTGGCGAAGATATTATTTATCTCATTTGTTGCTATTTATGTTTTAAATTCATTATACAGTAAACTTCAGAAGAATCTGCAGCTGGTGGCAGAATCACTGTGTGAACGTGATGAACTTTCCATATTGTTAATCTGAGTTAGGGATAAAAGCAGATACCACTGGGATGAATAAAATCCAATGGAT